ACTGAGTTTATTTGAATAAAGATTATTTCTATTTCTATTTCTATTTCTATTTCTGTTATATAGGTTTTCGTTAATTAAACAAAAACATTGGGCAAATTGTGTATAAAAATCATGCCATTGAGTAAAATTATGTAAATTAATACTAAATAAAAAAAACCAGCTAAGAGTATATCAGACAGGTCGTGACAGGTGCTGATATATCTGCAGACTCTACAAAAGTATATTATTTAAGTTATTAACCTGTGGGCTAATTATGTAACTTCGTTCGCAACGATTTTCGTATGTAACGTAGTGAAAATGACGTCATCTGTCAATAATGCGATCATATAGACGCCATTTGACGCTGTCAACTAGCATTGCAACGTAAACGCAACTTTACATATCGATAAAAATTATTTCTATCGAATGTCGATTTAGTAACCTCGTTGCAACGTCACGTAATCGCTATTTTGCCGAAATGACAGCGTGGAATTGAAACGGTTTTTACATTATGAGAAACAATTTAGAAGGTGTTTCTTTTGGTTACAATCTTTAAAATATCAGCATTAGCAGCATTATTTATCTTGTTTTGGTAATTTTCAGTATTACATATATTTTTATTATATTAAATATTACGTAGAAAGTCGTGAAAAGGTTTTAAATTTATTAAAATGGGAAAATTGTCACGACTCACAACACGACATCAGTGTTGCCAATTCGATATTTTATTTTCGTCCCAAATCACATAGAATGTTGTATTAACTAGAGTAAATGTTTAATATAAAATTAGGGTTGATTATGATATTAATATAATTAAAAAACTATTTCAATGAATACGGTGCTCTGTGAACGGAATACAACGTTTATGATGCTCTGTGATTTGTTTAAAGTAAATAAATTTATTTGTTTAAAGTTTTTACAATTATGTACAAATTTAAAAAGATGTGCCCATATCATTTTAAATTTATATGGATACCTACGTACTTACCTAGGTATCTATAGCAGAAAAGAAAATTTAATTTGTAGGTTAGATTAATATTATTAATGATTATAAATAGTTTGTATAAAATATGCTTTTATATTCAAAATTATTAACCTTATTTTTTCATTAGAATAGAATAGACTTTCTTTATTTTATTTTATTAAATGTCTATTAATAAAATTAAAATAAAAGAACAAGTGAACGCTGCAGTATATTTTGTAATTTTTGAACGCAATAAAAATTGTTTCAAATCAACCAACTAGTGTAACAACCCAATAAATTAAAATGTATCCCTCTAAAGGTATAAGCTATCTAATGTACTGACTTTTTAAATTGGTCGGATTAACAATATTCCGCTGCAACTTCATAGTAGTGTTTTATCGATAGAAATGATTTATGTTGCGGTCATTCGACCTTACTTGATCGCATTTTTTAAATTGAAATGATTTCATATTGCATCACAACTTCAACAGAAACAATTTCATATCGTGTTACATAATTAGCTCACGGGTCTTAACACGAATAATTTTATGGCAAATAAAGGTATTTACCTCTCTCCACGTTTCGACTTGGTTGCATATGACTTTTTTTGGCAGGTAGCTGATGTAATATGGAGTAACTTAGGCTACTTTTATTTTAGAACATCTAAGTTAATTTAACTTACATGTTCTAAGTCCACGCGAAGTTGCGGGTATCAGCTAGTATTAAATAAGTTTAGAAACTATAGTTATAACTAACAGTACCCGGAATTTAACTTAAAAAAAAATTAATATAAAAGTTACTTAAGTTACTCCTTATTACATTAGCTACCTGCCAATAAAAGTCCCATCAAAATCGGTTCAGCCACTTCAGAGATTAGTCGGTACAAACAGGCAGACAGATAGACAGACAAAAATTGTAAAAAATGATATATATATGTATGTATAGTAAAAAACGGTTATTACAATATTACAAACAGACACTCCAATTTTATATGTATAGATATATAGATATGTAAATACATTTATTGTATGTCTTATGAATATATGTATAATAAAATATATAGAAATATATATATAAAAAAAAAATGGTTTCTACGCATTCAAACAAGACAGAATGGCGTATTGAATATTTTGGAGTGTATATTTAAATTCATAATGCTCAAGTTCAAGTTATTTATAAAACGCCACTCGATAACGGATGACTTGGAGCTCGAAATGGATATTCAAATTAGGATTTCTGCACTAAAGAATAAGGTATTCTGTTCGTTGTTATGACTATTCAAAAGTGTTTAAATTTATTCGAATAAATGATTTTCTATTCTATTCGGCCCGTTGGTGCGAGCCAGCCAGCTAAGTTACCCAGAAATGTAAACGAGTTAATAAGAGGTGTGTGAATCTCAACGAGTCGCGTAGATGTATTCGTATGAAATAAATAGAAAATACCAAATTGTAAATTGAATCGTAATTATATACATTATAATGCAAATAAACAAACTCTTCAGATTTATAAAGTATTATAGTATAGACATGCTGTGGCGACTACAAAGAATGGGGTGAAGGTCATAATTATGTATATAATTATGATTTCTGTGTGTATGTTCACTGCAACTTAACAAACAAATTAACAGCTTCACACTAAATATATAGGAAAGAATATACGTTATTGAAAAAAAAATAAAAAAATACTGACTGTCTGTTCTTGCTAATCTCTAAACCGGCTAGACCTATATTGACGTGACTATCACTCGCAGATAGCTATTGTTATAAGGAGTAACTTGGCTACTTTTATTTATGTAATTTTATGTGTGTTTTATGTTTTAATAAAAAAAAAAGCATCCACGCGGATGTCGAAACTGATATTGTAAACGCGAAAGTTTGTGAGTATGGATGGATGTTTGTTACTCTTTCACGCAAAAACTACTAAACGGATTTTGATGAAACTTTAAAGTAATGTAGCTTATATAATATATCAGAACTAGCTACTCGCCCCGGCTTCGTGCGGGTGTATATGTATTATATACATAAACCTTCCTCTTGAATCACTCTATCTATTAAAAATAACCGCTTCAAAATCCGTTGCGTAGTTTTAAAGGTTTAAGCACACATAGGAACAGACAGCGACAGCGACTTTGTTTTAGCTTATAATTTTTTTTTTTAAATTAAATACAAATTTTCACAGATATATTCGTCCGTTACTTTTTTTAATTTACTTTAATATTATTATATTTCTTTAATTTCCACTTTTGTATAACTCCAGAGGAGCCTCTACCCGAGATGTTATATGTATGCTTATAAATTATAGGTGGGTGAAGCCGCGGCCACAGCTAGTAGGTGATAAAATAAATGAACAGTCGTTATGGGTTGCGTTGGCCGCCAGTGTACGTCCCCACAATAGGCTAATTGCACGTGGACTTTCTCGTGTCGCAAACAACGCTACAGATATGGATAGTTGCACACTTGAAACTTTCATTTACTAACTCAAAATCATTACACTGTATAAAATAAAGTCGCTGTCGCTGTCTGTCCCTATGTATGCTTAAATCTTTAAAACTATACAACGGATTTTGAAGCTGTTTTTTTAAGTGAGTCAAGAGGAAGGTTTATATGTATAATACATGTACATCCGTGCGAAGTCGGGGTGGGTAGCTAGTATAAAATAAAGTCGCTGTCGCTGTCTGTCCCTATGTATGCTTAAATCTTTAAAACTACGCAACGGATTTTGAAACGGTTTTTTTAAATAGATAGATTTTTTTTTTATAACACATGGGACAAACGAGCATGCGGCTCACCTGATGGTAAGTGATTACCGCCGCCCATGAGCACCCGCAACACCAGGGGAATTGCAAGTACGTTGTCGGCCTTTTAAAAAGGAATAAGCTCTTTTGAGTGATTCTAGAGGAAGGTTTATGTGTATAATACATGTACGTACACCCGTGTGAAGCCGGGGCGAGTAGATACAATTCACACCATTTAGGCCCAAGTTAAGCCAACTGAAGCTTGTATTAGATATATATTTTTCATAAATACATACATAATTGGTTTTTTTATGTTTGTTAATGGTATGGTGCACCCGCCTGCGCTATCGGTTTACGCTGGCGGGGCACCAGTGGAGGATAAGATGAGCATGAGGTCAGGTCAGTTAGCACATCGTGACAAATTCATCAGGAATTTATCACGATGGTTTCCAGGGGGCACCGCGTGGAGGTCGACCTGATATGGTACATTGCTAGTAATGGAGTCATGAGTCCACATTACTAATAATCACCTTCCTCCAATACATAATTGTTGAGACAACATAGATTGGTTAATTTTAATATCATATTTGATTAATTTATAAATGATTATAATGATTATATGAGTATAAATATCATATTTAATCAATTAATCAATTTTAACCATTTGAGACATCTTTGTCATCCGTATATCTTATATATAAAATTCTCGTGTCACAGTTTTCGTTCCCATACTCCTCCGAAACGGCTTGACCGATTCTCATGAAATTTTGTGAGCGTATTGAGTAGGTCTGAGAATCGGCCAACATCTATTTTTCATCCCCCTAAATGTTAGGGGTAGTCCACACCTAATTTTTTTTTATTATAAGGCAAAACAACGTTTGCCGGGACAACTAGTAATATATAAGAATTAATGATATTCTTGTGTTGACTGTATGTATGCAAATCGTAATTATTATTATTTTATATTTATATTATATTATTATACTTTGACGACCTCGGTCTACCACACCGCTTTACGACCGATGGTCGCGGGTTGGATTCCTCGCACGGCACAAATATTTGTATTCATGAGTATGATTGTTTGTATCGGTCTGGGTGTTTTCTATGTATAATATATATGTATTTACAAAAAAAAATCTATGTATATGTATCAGTTATCTAGTACCCATAACACAAGCTTTAGCTAGCTTAACTTGGGTCTAGATGGCGCTGTGTGAATTGTCCTGAGATTATTATTGTATTATATTATTATTATATCTGACGATTTTTTATACGATTGTTTTATACATGTAATTAACCAGGCGTTGCTTGTTTTGTTTGCAGTACGGCAGCGATGAGTTCGGACACGACTCGCCGAGCCGCTTCGCGTCGCCGAAGGGCGCGGGCGCGGGGGCGGGGGCGGGCGCCGCCTACCAGGAGCCCTACTACGCGGGCGGAGACTGGGGCGCGGGCTACTACCAGCCGCCGCCGCCCTACCACCACGACCCGTACGCCACCTCGCCAGGTAACGCACCGTCCACCGTCCACCGTCCACCACCGGATGACATCGCTGTGTTGGTGGCAGCTTGTCTTATATCTACAGCATTTATCACGGGGAGTGTTCTGAGGAATTGTTCGGATAAATACCAGCTGCAGAGTTTCACCACCGTACCACACGCCAGAAACTGAAATACCATCCTGATCATCTGGATGAATGGCGGTCTTCCACAGTGCGGTTTTCTAGAAACTTTTTGCCATGCACAACCACATTGTGGAATCACCTTCCAGCAATGGTATTTCCGAACCGATACGATATTGAAACCTTCAAGAAAAGAGCTTATTCCTTTTTAAAAGGCCGACAACGTACTTGCAATTCCCCTGGTGTTGCGGGTGCTCATGGGAGGCGGTAATCACTTACCATCAGGTGAGCCGCATGCTCGTCTGTCCCCAGTGTTATTAAAAAAAAAATAACCCGTCCTACTCGTGACCGGGTGCTGCTTGTCTGTCCGTCCCTATTTAAAAGAGCAACACGCAAGTTTCTTGTCCGTTCTTCTTATGATAAGACAGTTCACAAGTTCAAACTTGTGGCGTCGTGGTGGGCCAGGTCGATGTGCTCCCTCTAATATGATTGAGTGCAATGATGGCTGGCTCATCCGTCATACTCGTGAACGGGTGCTGCTTGTGGGGACTGGTCTGTTCGGGTTACGAACACTGATTAGACTATTTACTTTTGCAATAGCATATGCTGGTGATCACTCTATTCTCACAAATTTGAATTTTAGAATGAATCTGAAAAAGAATACGAGCTGAGTTTCTTGTCAGTTCTTCTCATCTCGAAATCATTCCGAACTGACGGTAGATTTGACATATCATAAGAGTCTGTAATAGACCTACATGAATAGAGATATTTTGATTTTTAAGTAGGTCATATATTGTTGCGTTAAGTTTTCCGAAAATAATAGTTAAGATTCTTAAAAACGGCTTAATCGAAGTTGGTGTAATTTATATGTATATATCATAGGTCTGAGAATTGGTCATCTATTTTTTATACCCCTGAGTAATAGGGTGGCCCACCCCGAATTATTTTTGTAATTTTTTTATATTTGCGACAGTAAAAAATACATATTATCCTAAATTTTGATACTGTTACCATCAATCTCTATTTTTAATAGCTATATTAATTTATATGGCATTTCTTTGGCATCTCTTTTTTATCGTAAATGTATACATATATAAATATATATAACTCAAAGGTGACTGACATAGTGATCTATCAACGCACAGCCGAAACCACTGGACGGATCGGGCTGAAATTTGGCATGCAGGTAGATGTTATGACGTAGGCATCCGCTAAGAAAGGATTTTGATTAATTCTACCCCCAAGGAATTAAATAGGGGATGAAAGTTTGTATGAAAGTTTGTGAATTTTAAACCGATCGGGCTGAGACTTTGCATGCATAAAGCTACTATGACGTAGGCATTCCCTGAGAAGAGATTTTGATAAATTCCACCCCTAAGGGGGATAAGTTAACGCGAACGAAGCCGCGGGCAAAAGATAGTTTATATATAAATATATACAACATTATAGTTACACGCTGTGTGACAGACGAGTCAAAGTGAAATGATTAGTGTTGTGGCTTTGTGAGGTTTCTAGAGATGTGTCGTTGGCTGCAGGTATAGCGGGCGCGCCGGCGGGCGAGGCCGGTGGCGGCGCGGAGCTGCCCCTGCCGCCGATGTCGTCGTTCCGCGCGGCCGCGCCCCATCACTCGCCCACAGACCCCATGCTCGTCGCCAAGCCACCGCTGCAGCCGGTCAGTGCGAACACAAACACAAACACACACATACACCCATACACCTATCCTCTCTACTTGACAGAGTTTGGGTGTGTGTGAGAGATAGTATCTCTATCTCTTACACCACACACACACTCTTAAACACACCCATACTCTCTCCCCCCTCTCCCTCTTCCCCCTCTCCTTCTCGCTCTCCCTCTCTCCCTCCCTCTCTCCCTCCCTCTCTCCCTCCCTCTCTCCCTCCCTCTCTCTCACTCTCCCTCTCTAGATAGATAGAGGTATCTCTATCTCTTACCCACACACTCTTGTCTAATTATGACACATATTTGTTATTTTTTAGATTTTGTCGTACTCTTGATGACCATATGTTCATGACAAATTTAATTTTGAAAAAAAGAAAATATTTTATTACATACTAGATGTAGCCGCGACTTCGTCCGCGTGGAATTTTACTTTATTTGTTACTCCCTATAGCATCTGCTACCTGGCAAAAAATTCCCCCGGCTAATCTCTGAAGTGGCTGAACCGATTTTAACGGGGCTTTTTTTGGAAGATAGATGATGTAATAAAGAGTAACTTAGGCTACTTTTATTTTAGAAAAGTAAAGTTAAATTCCACGCGGACGTATCTCGAGTACAGCTAATTCATTAATTAAGAGCGACGCTCTTGTCGGTGGGGTCTTATAGTCTACCTCAAGTAAATGGTATGTGGTGGATGGTGACCTGCAGATGTACGGCGGCGCGGCCAGCACGCCTGGCGGTGGTGGCGGTGGTGGCGCGGAGGCTGGCAGCCTGTCGTCGTACGGGTCGTCGCCGTCGACGCCTGTTCACTCGCCGCCGCCGCTGCACGCCCGGCTGTACCCGCCACTCAAGCACTCGCCCGCGCATCATCACGTGCAGCACCACAATGGACAGGTAGGCGGTGACACTATATCACCATCAACATCCTGACGATGATATCATCATGACTGTTAGAGTTCACATCAATATTGTAGGAAAAAAAGCCGATATTTTAAAATGATATTAAAAGAAGGTAGTTTGTGTTTAGTACTAATGAAGTACCCAATGTAAGGATTATTACAAATATTGTAAATAGCGCCATCTAGTATTTATAGACCGACCTACTACACTGACTTCGGTCTATAAATACGGAGGTCGGTAGTTGAATAATCCTCTTTCGTTGCGTGAGCCGCGGCATTCAGTCGACGAGCGCAGAGCGTGCCGGTTGTGTTTTGGATACTAAAGTGAATTGTATTTGAAATGGGTTTATCCCGGTCTTAGTTGGGCCTGGGGGGAAGCTGCAAGTAGTGAAGGTGAGTGTTAATGCATTCTAAAAGAGCCTTTTAAACCTACACCCGTGTCACAAGTCACGGGCGCTACTTGGGGTTTCCCTTGCGGTAGCCGGCTTCGAAGCCTAAGTCATGATCATTTATTGGTGCTTCTTACATTACCGTCATCTTCATGACGACGATATATCATCATCATTATCATCATCAAGACGACGGTATGTCATCATCATTATAATTTTTTAAATAGTACGATGATACCGAACAGTCGACTGACCGATTTTGAAGAGACTGATTCACAGATAGCTAATGTTATAAGGAATAACTAAGAAATTTTTGTTTTAGTGAATATCATCACATAGTATAAAACAGTCGCTGTCGCTGTCTGTCCGTCCCTATGTATGCTTAAATGTTTAAAACTACGCAACGGATTTTGAAGCGGTTTTTTTTTAATAAAAAGAGTGATTCAATAGGAATGTTTATGTATATAATACATGTACACCCGTGCGAAGCCGGGGCGAGTAGGTAGTAATATTATAAACGCGAAAGTTTATAAGTATCGATGTTTGTTATTCTTTCACGCAAAAGCTACTGAACGGACTTTGATGAAATTTTACACTAATATAGCTTATGCATCAGAATAACACACTATATTTTTTTTTTTAAATTGTATATTATGAAATTTATCATGAAACTTTACAATAATATAGCTTAGAATAGAATAGAATAGAAAATCATTTATTCAAATAAACTTAATTTAAGCACTTTTGAATAGTTATAACAATTTTTTTTTATCTACCGCTCGTTCGGAAACTGTCTCATCACATGAGCCAGCCATCACTGCACTCGACCATATTTTAGGGTGCCCAATGACCCGGCCCACCACGCCGCCACATGTCTGGACATTTTAGTGAGCATGACTACTCATTCCACTCGACCACGTCACAGCTACAAAAATTACTATATGGTAGTTACAGTATACGCACTTTATATGAGGATGCATGCGGCAATCAATACAAAAGCCGCTACGCTATCATATATCAAGAAAGCAGTATAAAAAATAAATTATAACGTTGTCCGCAAATAAACTTATGCATGAGAATAACACATTGGTTATATTTTTTTAATTTAACATAAGTGAAACCGCGGGCGTAGCTAGTAAAATTCCATAGCTATTATAATAACTATTATTGATATAGTTAATTAAAGCTTTACACGTAAAGATCGCTTTAATGTAATAACTGTAGTATCAAAGTAACAGCTCTGAATATTTTACTGTAGAACCAGAAATAGGATCACGCACACGTTACCACTCAACGGAAGGAATTAATACAAAATTCAAATTCAAAATTCAAAAATCATTTATTCATGTAGGACATTTTAGCCGCTTATGAACGTCAAATTTTTACACTATAATTTTATTTTTTTCCCTACCGTCCAGTTCGGTATATAGATCCAATTGAGAAGAACTGGCAAGAAACTCAATTGAATTAGTTTTTTTTTTAAAGCCAGTTTATTTACAATGTATATTTATATAGGTGTCTATGTCTAACATTAAATGAAAATTCAGTGCATGAACAACTATTGCCATGCACACTCGTCATTCAAGTAATCGTTTAGTGAGTAATAGGCTTTGCTCAGTAAATATGATTTAACAGATGTTTTGAATTTATTTAAGGGTAATTCCAACATATCCTTTGGTATCTTATTGTAAATTTTTATACCTATTCCCATAAAAGACCTATTAACTTTTTCTAAACGATACTTGGGGACAGCAAGTTTGTCTTTAAATCTTGTATTAATATTATGAATATTGCTGTTTTTTGGAAATAAGTCAAGATTTTTATGAACATATAGGATATTTGAATATATAAATTGAGAAGCAACGGTGAGAATATTTGCCTCTTTGAATTTCTCTCTTAATGAGTCACGACTCTTCATACAGTAGATCGCTCGAACGGCACGTTTTTGTAATATGAATATATTTTTAATATCTGCCGCTTTTCCCCATAGTAATATTCCATAAGAGAGTAAACTATGAAAATAACTAAAATAGACTAATCTAGCAGTATCAGTATCAGTGTACTGTCTAACCTTACGCACGGCAAAAGCTGCTGAACTTAGTTTCGCTGCAAGGCTTTGAATTTGTGCACCCCATTGTGTTTTATTATCTAGTGTGATTCCTAGAAAGACAGTAGATTCTATAAATTCGAGAGATTCGTCATTTAATTTAATATTGCAATTAGTATTAAAACTTTTAGACAGAGAGAAATTAACACATTTTGTTTTTTTAGCGTTTAACATAAGATTGTTAGTTGTAAACCAGTGCAGGAGACGCCGCAAAGCACTATTTACATCGTCATAATTATTAGTCATTCTATTAACTTTAAAAATCAATGAAGTATCGTCTGCAAATAATACTATGCCGCATCTATCCTGCATGGCATATGGGAGATCATTAATGTAAACTAGGAATAAAAATGGACCGAGAATAGATCCTTGAGGTACACCCATTTGCACAAGTGACCCGTCAGACGTAGCGTTGCTAACCTTCACTTTCTGTATTCTATCAGATAGATAAGATTTTATTAAATTTAAAGCATTGTCTTTGACGCCATAAAAAGCAAGTTTTTTTAGCAATGTATTATGATCAACGCAATCAAAAGCCTTAGAAAGGTCACAAAAAACACCTATCGCATCCATTTTAGTTTCCCATGCAGCAAATACGTGTCTAAGCAACTCTGCACCTGCGTCTGTAGTTGAACGACCTTTGGAAAAACCGAATTGACTATTGTGGATTAAATTATTTAAATTGAAATAACTGACAAGCTGCATAAGGATTATTTTTTCAAAAATTTTACTGAGTGCTGGGAGTATAGATATAGGTCTATAATTTATTGGGTCACTCCTATCTCCAGATTTATCTCCTGATTAATACAATACTATAAGACCTCAGTGGTGTAGCGGTTTGGCACACCGTTTTACGTCCGATGGTCGCGGGTTCGATTCCTCGCACGGCGCAAACATTTGTATTCATGGGTATGATTGTTTGTATCGGTCTGGGTGTTTTAACTCAAATTCAAATTCAAAATATCTTTATTCATGTAGGTCTATTACAGACTCTTATGATATGTCAAATCTACCGTCAGTTCGGAATGATTTCGAGATGAGAAGAACTGACAAGAAACTCAGCTCGTATTTTTTTTTAATGTTGTACATATTTACAATAATACTATTTCATTTAAATTCAAATTTGGGAGAATAGAATGACCATCAGCATATGCTATATAAAAAAAATCAAAAAATCTAATCTGTGTTCGCAACCTGAACTAACTGACTGATTATCTTCCGATAGTCGCGGATTCGTTGCACAGTACAAACGTTTCTATTAATGACTATGATTGTTTGTATCGGTCTGGGTGTTTTCTATGTATAATATGTGTTTACGAAAAAAATATCTATGTATTTGTATCAGTTGTCTAGTACCCATAACACAAGCTTTAGCTAGCTTTACTTGGGTCTAGATGGCGCTGTGTGAATTGTCCTGAGATATTATTATTATTAAATATATGACATTCTAGTCTATGTATTATTCTGATGCATAAGCTATATAATTTTAAAGTTTCATCAAAATCCGTTGTGTAGTTTATGCGTGAAAGAGTAACAAACATACTTATATAACTACTATTATAAACTTTTATAATATTACTAGCTACTTGCCCTGGCTTCGCACTGGTGTACATGTATTATATATACATATAAACCTTCCTCTTGAATCGCTTAAAAAAACCGCTTCAAAATCTGTTGCGTAGTTTTAAAGATTTAAGCATACATAAGGACGGACAGACAGCGACAGTGACTTTGTTTAATACTAGTTAGCCACCCCGGCTTTGCACGGATGTACATTTATTATGCATATAAACCTTCCTCTTGAATCACTCTATCTATTAAAAAAAATCGCTTCAAAATCCGTTGCGTAGTTTTAAAGATTTAAACATACATAGGGACGGACAGCGACAGCGACTTTGTTTTATACTATGTAATGATTAAGATGTACAAGAGGTAACTTTTTGCAATCAACAGCAATCGAACTGGGTATCGAGCGGGGTGTCGTCACCGCCGAGCGCTTCCACGCCACACGCGCCGCTCGCTGGTGGTGCGGTGCTGCCCAACGGTCACCACCAGCACGTCGCCGTGTTCCCACCACCGGTCATGGTGAGTTTTTTTTATTATTTTTTACACAATACATTACCCATCGAGGGGTCTAAGACTCTCTCGTACTCTCTCTAGACTAGGAACTAGTGGAAGGATTCACAGAGTCTGAGAACTGGGGGAAAGATGATTGTTAGTAATGTGGACTGATGATCTTATTCCTAGCAATGTACCATGTCAGGTTGACCTCCACGGTTCTACCTGGAAACTGTGATAAATTCCTTGTGAATTTGTCACGATGTGCTAACTGACCTGACCTCATGTTCATCTTATCATCCTCCACTGGCGCCCCGCCAGCGTGTACCCTTAGGTGGGTGCACTATTACATTATCATTCATAAAAAAACAACCCTCTTCCCTTCAGGGTGAGTTGTACCGCGCGGTCATTGTGTATTTAAAAAGTTGATGGTCGGTAATTAATCTTCACTATACGTATATATATAGATATTGTAAACATGTACAACATTTATTTAAAAAAAATACGAGCTGAGTTTCTTGTCAGTTCTTCTCATCTCGAAATCATTCCGAACTGACGGTAGATTTGACATATCATAAGAGTCTGTAATAGACCTACACGAATAAAGATATTTTGAATTTGAATTTAATGTAGATAGATTAGTAAGCTAAACTGACGGCCTCGGTGGTATAGCGGTTAAGCAGATAACTTCCAATGGTCCCGGGTTCGATTCCTCGCACAGTACAAACGTTTGTATTAATGGTATGATTGTTTGTATCGGTCTGGGTGTTTTAGCACACAGATTATCTACCGGTGGTTCCGGGTTCGATTCCTCGCATATTACAAACGTTTGTATTCATGAGTATGATTGTTTGTATCCGTCTGAGTGTTTTAGCACACAAATTATCTTCCAATGGTCCCGGGTTCGATTCCTCGCACAGTACAAACGTTTGTATTAATGAGTATGTTTGTTTGTATCCGTCTGAGTGTTTTAGCACACAAATTATCTTCCAATGGTCGCGGGTTCGATTCCTCGCACAGCACAAACATTTGTATTGATGAGTATGATTGTTTGTATCCGTCTGAGTGTTTTAGCACACAAATTATCTTCCAATGGTCGCGGGTTTGATTCCTCGCACAGTACAAACGTTTGTATTAATGAGTATGATTGTTTGTATCCGTCTGAGTGTTTTAGCACACAAATTATCTTCCAATGGTCCCGGGTTCGATTCCTCGCACAGCACAAACACTTTGTATTCATGAGTATGATTGTTTGTATCCGTCTGAGTGTTTTAGCACACAAATTATCTTCCAATGGTCCCGGGTTCGATTCCTCGCACAGTACAAACGTTTGTATTAATGAGTATGTTTGTTTGTATCCGTCTGAGTGTTTTAGCACACAAATTATCTTCCTATGGTCGAGGGTACGATTCCTCGCACAGTACAAACGTTTGTATTAATGAGTATGTTTGTTTGTATCCGTCTGAGGGTTTTAGCACACAAATTATCTTCCTATGGTCGAGGGTACGATTCCTCGCACAGTACAAACGTTTGTATTAATGAGTATGATTGTTTGTATCGGTCTGGGTGTTTTAGCACACAGATTATCTACCGGTGGTTCCGGGTTCGATTCCTCGCATATTACAAACGTTTGTATTCATGAGTATGATTGTTTGTATCAGTTTGTGTTGTATGTATTTATAAAAAACATAGTTGTCTAGTACCCATAACACAAGCTCTGTTTAACTTGAGACTAAATATGGATTTCAGGGATTCTATTATGATTATTATTATTAAAATTACTAGCTACTCCCCCCGGCTTCGCCCGGATGTACATGTATTATACATATAAACCTTCCTCTTGAATCACTCTATCTATTAAAAAAACCGCTTCAAAATCCGTTGCGTAGTTTTAAAGATTTAAGCATACATAGGGACGGACAGACAGCGACAGCGACTTTGTTTTATACTATGTAATGATGGTGATTAAGATAACATTCATCACTGTAAATGGAATTACAGTCGAGAAGAATGAGGAAACTTGCCTGTTGTGCTTTTAAACAATTCAATAACTTTATTTTTCACTATGTAAGATTACATAGTTCTTCACAACTCAAGCGAGCTCACCAACACGTGTTTGAATTGTTATCGGTGTTTCCTTCACCAGAAAGTCAATCAGTAGTAATAAATTGCAGCAGTAAGTTTTTTTGTGCTGATCAGAATCGAATCCTCGACCGTTGGTGTTATAAGCCGAGGTCCAATAATATGATTATCAAATATTAACTTCTTCAAACCAACATTTTAGCTTACAAATTACCTAATTACAATAAAAATGTGTCTTTAAATTTGTCTGTCCGTCTGCTATTAACGATATATCAAGGTTATACCATTATATTGAACTCAATAAATTATACATTGGTTACGAGTGGAAACTTGTTCTTCTAGTGGCCTATATTAAATGTCCCAAAACATATACATAACATATGTAAATGACTAGCTGTTCCCGCGACTTCGTCCGCGTGTAATTTAACTTGATTCTTCTAAAATAAAAGTAGCCTAAAGAACTAAAAATTATTTTGTTCGTCTAAATTTATTCGTTCCATTAGGTACTGATAGGTTCAAACTAATACATACATCCTCCATCATCCCTTATTTTATCCCCATAGGGGTTGAATTTATCAAAATCCTATTTAAGAGAACGTCTTCATCATAGTAGCTTCAATCTTTAATTTCAGTTCCATCAGTCGAAAATCTAAGAAGATTTATACAAACTTTCATCCCCTATTTTATCCCCTTAGGGGTGGAATTTATCAAAATCCTTTCCTACGTCATAGTAGCTTTATGCATGCAAAGTCTCAGCCCGATCGGTTCAAAATTGACAAAGTTTCATACAAACTTTCAACCCCTATTTTATCCCCTTGGGGGTAGAATTAAAATCCTTTCTTAGCGGATGCCTACGTCATAATATCTACCTGTATGCCAAATTTTAGCCCGATCCATCCAGAGGTTTGGGCTGTGCGTTGATAGATCACTATGTCAGTCACCTTTGAGTTATATATATTTAGATTGCATAAACTTATAAAATGAAATCTTCAAGTCTATGATGAATGGATTTCACCTGTGTAAGTGCGCTATATCCTATGTCTTACCATCATTTACCATACCATACCATAGGTAAGATCATCATTACCATAGGTAAGACCACGCGCAAACTAAAATTAATAAAAAAATCAGCTTTTCTTGTTTAAAAACCACATTTATATATATTCACGCCAGTTACTACATGAGGTAGACAGAAGACTGTGTAATGATTTATTTATTCTTCATTAGCGAGCCGTTCCGGGTTTGCACATGTATAAAGATATATAAACATGTACACCAAAACATATATGCATTTATAATCTATCTACATCTATACATGTAAATAAAATTGGAGTGTCTGTTTGTAATATTGAAATAACCGTTTTTTACTACATGCATATGAATGTAAATACGGTGCATGCACTAAAATATCATTTTTGAATTGTTGTCTGTCTGTCTGTTTGTTCCGGCTAATATCTGAAATGGCTGGACCGATTTTGACGGGACTTTTATTGGCAGGTAGATGATGTAATAAGGAGTAACTTATGCTACTTTTATTTTAAGAAAAATAAAGTTAAATTCCACGCAGACGAAGTTGCGAGTACAGCTAATTTATTAATAGAATAGAAAATCGTTTATTCAAATAAACTTAATTTAAGCACTTTTGAATAGTCATAAAATTTTTTTTTATCCACCGCACATTCGGAAAGCTGTCTCATCGCAAGAAGAACGAGCGATAAACTTGTGTATTACTCTTTTAAATAATCCTTGTAAGTTCACATTTACAAGTCGAAACGTGTGAATACAAACTACCAACCAACAATATTATAGGATTACCGACCATCAATGAATTTGAATAGATACGTAATATGACCTTCGTCAGAAGCGACCGATTGCGCCGCCAAATTATATGTAAATTGTAATCTATTTTTCCATAGATTTAGTTTGTAGTGGGCATGCCTACATGCATGGATGTAACTAAAATTTGATCCTAGAAAAAAAACATATGATTTTGTTTTAAACAGCTCGACCAGTGTTATATAGCGGTTTTTTAGATTATTGTTTCCGTAAAATAGTATTTTTAATGTAATTAATATGATATTTGTGAAAAATTTTGTTTAATTTTATTTTTAATGAATTAATAATGAAATATTATAATAATGATGTCATGTTCCTGATAATCGTTTTTATTTTTATTATATTTGTTGAATAATAATAAAATTTTATGTAATATTTCATATTATTCAAAATTAATTTTGTTTAATTATTTTTCTTGAATTATGAATATTTTAAAATTCATATCATATCTGTGAAAAAAATACATTAAAGACAAGTATATAATACATACAGATTACAACCCATATATATGTATACAGAGATATACCAAGGTATACCCAGTGGAGTATAAATAAACCTTAACAATATTCCCAAAGATGCAAAATGGAAAATTGAAAATGAACCTCAAAACCTTCAGGAATATTTTCTATTACCGCATTTCCATTTTGTTTCTCGCTAGATATGGAAGTGGTTTAATTTACTTACATGATATTACCAAGGTATACCATTTACAAATAGAAATAGAAATAATCTTTATTCAAATAAACTCATTACAAGCACTTTTGAATAGTCATATTTTGATTCTACCACTCATTCGGAATGCAGACTCATCACAAGAAGCAATATTAAAAAAATGCTTATATCCTGGTCCAGCTATCAATCTTTTGGATATATCCCAATATTTTATTTACAGCTTGTATAACATTTTGTTTTATTTTTAATTTTTTTTTTTATTAATCTTTAATTAATGTGGTACCAGTACGTTGAGTTATGTTGAGCTTGTACATACATATTAATATAATTTAAATCTTATGACGTGAATATATAAGATACAAATTGTAACGTAAGCTTTAATGTCAGAATAGAGCAATTAAGATCCGGTTTTTTCGAGATTTTATTCGTTATTGTAATTTAAATCGTATTGGTACCGCATTAAGGTTGTGTTTTTGTTTTGTTGTAATCAGCGACAGTGTGGAGCTTGCGCCCGTGTCCCTTAGTGTTTTTTTTATGTAGTGACTAGTTTATGTGGAATTTGTAGTTAGAAATTTCAGGCAACCAGTTTGTACGTAACAAGTATTTACATGGTTTTTCCAAAAATGAACTTAATTGACTATATCAGAAGGTTTAGTTTTAAGTACGTCTACATTGTTCGAAATTCGCCGTGAAGTTGACGTGAAATGACCTTTCTTACCATGACTTTAAAGTATGAAATCGCATACCTTTCTACTCCTAATAAACGTATATTTTTACACATTTTGTGGCTAATATTTAATTGTGTAACTCAAAATATACTTATCTATCTGGCCCTAATTTTCCAATTTCATTTAACTTAAGCTACATAAAGCTAGACTATCTTCTTCTCTAGCCCATTATGTTAAATTTCACCTAAACCTAAAAAAGCTACGTAAAACTAATATGTATTTTTACACGTTATGTGCCAGCTTTCCTAAACTAAGCTATATAAGCTAGAATATTGTGTTTCATCTTTATCTAAAAAAGCTATATGGAAGTTGACTATCTATATATCCCTCCGATCGATCCCTTTCCAATTTAAACGGGGATCGAAATTACGACGTCCTGAGCCAAGTTCCGTACCCCTAGGGGTGCCCTCAGACTAAAGTCGTATCCGTCAGGCGGGAGTTGGCCTTCAGCCGCTCCATAAGAACTTCCATTGGTTTAAGTGCCATCTGCACTCGGCCCCTATCGTTCAGTGAAGCGGTAAAGGCCAGCTGCGGCCAGCATTAGAATAGTTGGAAAAACATATCTATATGTCTTATCCAATATTTATATATCTTGTCCATTTGTAACATACAATTTCTTCTAAACGAAGCTACAGAAGCTACACTATCTGGCCCGCAATATCCCAACTCTCTCTAAACCAAGCTGTATAAGCTAAACTATATAGCCCACGATGTCCCAAGTACTCCTCAATTAAGCTACATACGCTATATGGCCCGTAATGTACCATCTATACCTATACGAAGATACAGAAGCTACACTATCTGGCCCGCAATATCCCAACTCCCCCTAAACCAAGCTGTATATAAGCTAGACTAAGTAGCCCCCAATGTCCCAACTACCCCTAAGCTAGGCTATCTGGCCCCTAATATCCCAAGTATCCCTAAACTAAACTACATAAGCTAGACTCTCATCTGCAATATCCTAACTATATCTAAACGAACATAAGCTAGACTATCTGGCCTGTAATGTCCCAACTAAGATAGACTAATCTAGCCTGCTATGTCCCAACTACACCTAAACTAAGCTACACAAGGCTAGGCTCTACGTACTCGGTACCCCCCGGCGCCGGCTCCCCGCTGTCGCTGTGTATACAACGGTAACTGGCTGTAGGGCGCGCCGGCTGAGCAACGGCAGCTCGACGAGGCTATGGTGTTCTTGCGTGAACATTCCGACGTGGTTGTAAGTATTGCTTTTGTTATAATTGCTAGTGTTAGGGACGCGGATATTGATTACTTATTTATTGTTATAACAAATTTAAGCCAATTTTATTTACACTTGGAAATAGTCATATTTTGATTCTACCACTCATTCTGGCTGGGCCTGTTCTGTAGGAAATAGGATAAAAATATACATATTGTGAAAATCTTAAAATCAATAATAGATTTATAGTCTTATATCTTTATTGAACGATAAATGCACAAGTGACATGGTTTTAACCATAATAATAATAATAATAAGCTCAATCAAGCTAAAGCACACTGTATAGGAGACAGATGGACAGAGATAACTGTTGACAGGAAAGCTTATTTAGCAGGTTATAGGCCCCGCGATATCTGACGGAATTTTCTGAAAAATATAAATAGATTCGTAGTTTATTATGGGGCATTATCACAGCAAACTGTTGTTAATTTTTTATAGTTCCCGTGCGATGATGCGATCTGCATCTTAGTTTTAAAGTTGTTTAAGTAATGTTAGGTATAATTATAGATTTGTCCTTTCATACATTAACGGCTTTCTGTTCTTACCTAATAATTAGCTGGTAGAGAATGCTGTATGGCATTAAGCTCGTCAAATTGTACATTTATATATATATATATAAGTTATAGACTTAAATAAATAAAAATATAATATTACATGACAGCCTTTCTCTGCACCACCTATGGTTGACTGGTAGAAAATGCCACCCTACTGGTGTATACTGTATTGTGTGCATTTTGACGACCTCGGTGGTCTAACGGTCTAGTACACAGCTTTACGTCCGATGGTCGCGGGTTCGATTCCTCGCACGGCACAAACATTTGTATTCATGAGTATGATTGTTTGTATCGGTCTGGGTGTTTTCTATGTATATTTTGTATGTATTTACGAAAAATTATCTATGTACTTGTATCAGTTGTCTAGTACCCGTACCACAAGCTTTAGATAGCTTAACTTGGGACTAGATGGCGCTGTGTGAATTGTCCTGAGATTATAATTATTAATATTATTAAAGTTAAATATATAATGAAATTTTTGTACATTTTTGTGGGTGCTCCTTTAAAGTTTAAAAAAAAGTTAGGTTGTATTCGAGAGGGAGAATGCCGTATGCTTTTTCTCCCGGCCAATCATAGTCACGCGGACGTAGTCGGGTACAAACACTAGTGTAGTTTATGTCACCTTATTGGAACAGTAATAATAGTTGTCTAGGATTATACAGCGTGTTTCTATTATAAGTCAACTGTTAAATCACAGTTAATTGACTGCAATTAAAGAGGAAACTTTAAATGACATAATAGTCGGTGGGAAGTTTGTAAAAGAATCATTGTCATTACGAGTACAGAGTGTGGGAAGATAGCATATGGCTGGCCGGTTGGAACGTAGATTGGACTGGCCAAATAATACGTTGTACAAAGTGTGCACTATTGTGTTTGAGTAAGAGGTAGCTTTGAGTTGCCAAATGAGATTTGTACAAAGTTTGCACTGTTATGCTTTTTTTTAATTATTAAATTTCACTAAGGTACTCACTTTGTACAAAGTGATCTATTTAGGTACCTCTGTATTAACTCATTGATTTTGCATATACAGTGGGTTGCCAAATTAATAGGGACAGTCACGAAATATTCGTTTTTTGTAAAACATTGGTCTATAATTAATTAAAAACGTCACTTTAGGCTATAATTATATTTAATAATATCAGACACATATCTTATAATGAATTTAGACTATAATAATTTAATATTTGAACAACTAGAAAATATAAACAAGTATAATAAAAATGATGATGGGAAATTATTAGTATTTTGTCACATTTCCTTTTGCTTCTATCAGTGCTTGAATCCGCCTCGGCATACTTTCAATACACTGTTTAGCACTTTCTTTTATTTTGGGATTGTGAAACCATACATTTATTAATTTTTCAATTAGTTTTACTTTGGTAGTTATGATTTCCTTAGCAATTTCCGCCTTGGTAATTTCCCACAAGTTTTCTATGGGATTCATATCAGGAGAATTGCCAGGCCAAGGTAAGACTGGAATGTTGTGGTCTTCCAAAAATTTGGTTAAACTCCTCGCTTTATGACATGGAGCTGAATCGTGCATAAACACGAATTCCTCCCCATTCGGGAACCATTCCTGAAGTTGCGGCAACAGGCGAGTTTCTAATACTTGCTTGTATTGGTCCTGTCTCATGGTTCCCTGGACGATATAGAGGTGCCCAACTCCTTTTGCGCTGATGACAGACCATACCATTATTTTTACAGGGTGTTTAATTCGTTCCACTATGCAATCAGGATGAAATTTCTCGCTTGGGCGCCGCCTCACGAAGTTACTTTTGTTGGCCAGAATTTCAAAAGTTGACTCGTCTGAGAAACATACCTAAAAAAATATAGAAACTATATTTTTTGTAAATATGATTTTATATAACACAAATAAAATTAACCATAGAACTGACCTTATTCCAGTCTTCAACAGTTTTCAGGCGGTGCTCACGAGCCCAAGCAAGCCTTTTCTTTTTCATCGCCTCTGTTAATCGGGGTTTCTTAACTGGACGATGACCTGTCAGGCCTTCCTCTGCCAACCTTCGCTGTATAGTTCTTTTTGAAACACGTATTCCAGATTCCTGTACTATCTGAGTTAAAAATCCAGCACTTTTCTTTCTGTTTTGCAAGCAGATATCTCGAATTTTCCTATCGGAACGTGTTGTTGTGATACGTTTTCTGCCACATTTGCCTTTTCTTTTGGGCGAAAGTGGCTGATTTTGATCTAAATTTATTTTTATTTTATTGACGGCAGATTTCGATATCCCGGCCAGTTGTGCTATCATCCTCTGAGAGTGATTTGTGTGTAGGAGAAGGGTTTTAACCTCGGATTTTTTTCTCGGAGTCAAATCTACCCCTCGACCCATAGCCAAAGCTGAAAATATAAAAATAAATTAAAATTGTTCTAAAATCCGCTCCAAAATACTTTAATTTTAATTATAGTAAAATATTACTTACTTGCAGGTATTGATTATTTCACAAAACCACTAAAGAACTGTTTAAAAGAATAATTTACGTGTTTCACTTTTACACGTGTGAACGACTGTGTGTCTCTCCCGTCATTAAAATATATTTCCAAAATAAACAAATCTCTCAGCACTTGAAATTCACTTTGAATTTGAGTTATAGAGACAAGGTGAACATAAAAACATATCAGCAAAAAACTTTTACCACTTAAAAACGTAGTCAAGACCACTTGAAGAACAAAAATTATAAAAAATGTGACTGTCCCTATTAATTTGGCAACCCACTGTAGTACATATTCAGTATGTACCAAGATTATGTTAAGTTATATAGAAAAAGAAATACAATAAAAAAATCAACCGAAATTGTATTCATGAAACATTTTCCACTGAAATTCACTTTAACACTGAATTCCTTAAGAAATAAAGAGATAATACTCGTAAAAACTTATTGTCAGTCTTCCAGTTTGTTTGTTTGTGAGAATGATGAGATTAATGAGTTTTCCACTTGTTCTGGATCTGGATTGAGTTATCGTTTATTTTTTTTTTATTTATATATTTAATTCGGATTACATCCATATTGTGTTATTAAACAACTTATAAAACTATGTTAGTAACTTATAACATACAGATACAGAGATACACTTAATTCATATCTGGGTCCACAATGCAACGATATCCTGTGCCTCTGGAGCGGACAATCAAATATATTCGCAACGTTAGTTTAGGACTTACCCTATAAAATATGTACATATAAAACTTTACAATACAACTTTTTTTATATATATAATAATCAATACAATCCGATCCGAGTAACGTAACAATGTACTTAGTAAAGTTGTAATTAAAACACTTCGCTTGTTATGAAAATATGCGATTTTTACCATGTAAAACGGTATGCTTTGATTGTTTTGTCGATGTTTTGTTATGTTTGTAGCATGAGCTTGCTGTTCTCATTTCACTGCACCTATACCTAAGCTACATAAGCTAGACTATGTGATCCGTAATGTCCCAACTACACCTAAACGAAGTTACGTAAGCTAGACTATGTGATCCGTAATGTCCCAACTACACCTAAACGATGTTACATAAGCTAGACTATGTGATCCGTAATGTCCCAACTACACCTAAACGAAGCTACGTAAGCTAGACTATGTGATCCGTAATGTCCCAACTACACCTAAACGAAGCTACGTAAGCTAGACTATGTGATCCGTAATGTCCCAACTACACCTATACGAAGCTACATAAGCTAGACTATGTGATCCGTAATGTACTAACTACACCTAAACGAAGCTACGTAAGCTAGACTCATCTGCAATGTCCCAACTATATCTTAACAAAGCTACATAAGTTAGACTATGAGCATAAGCTTGCTGTTCTTATTTCACGTAAATCTTTATTTTTTTATAACGTACAATTGTTGTTTAAGATTTAATACCATTATAATTAATGTTTAATTTAAAATTGATGATGATAAGCAATTGGATTAATATAAATGAAGACTTTATAGCGCTGTAACAATTACAGAACCATATCTTATATCTGGGAGCTGTATGGCTGCCCCTAAACTCTCCCCTTACAACTGTTATGATCACCTCACATCTGTAATGAATACTTGTCTCCCTAATTCACACACTGCACTGATAACAGCAATGGGGAACGAGGTGACGACGGCCTACTAGTAAGTGGCAACCGTCGTCTCAAATTACCACGTGAACCCCTGGCATCTCCTAAAGACTGGGTTTTCACCCCTTTCACTGCCAAATCTCACCCTTCGATAATATGTCCAGATGCCAACAACAAGATGCCCACGTGATGTTCTACTATAATGTGTTGGGTGAACAATGAAATGTTGTCACATGTTCCCACACCTACAACCGATTATTTCTTAAACGCACAATTTAATTTAGTTTAATTTAGTTACAACTGTTATATCCAATTCACATCTATCACCGATACCTGTCTCTCAAACTCGCACACTGCAAGTGAAATGTTATCACATGTTCCCACATCTACAACCGATTATTTCTTAAACGCACAATTTAATTTAGTTTAATTTAGTTACAACTGTTATATCCAATTCACATCTATAACCGATACCTGTCTCTTAAACTCACACACTGCAACTGAAATGTTGTCACATGTTCCCACACCTACAACCGATTATTTCTTAAACGCACAATTTAATTTAGTTTAATTTAGTTACAACTGTTATATCCAATTCACATCTATCACCGATACCTGCCTCCGAAACTCACTCGCTGCAACTGAAATGTCTTTCCCATAACTACAACCAATATTTTCTCCCCTGTTTACGTGCCACAACTTTTATACCTTTCTCCACAATACATGCATCGTCAATAAGAATATACAATAAATATTATAAAAAATGAGAATATATATAATAAATTTATTATCCAATTAAAATAAATGTTGACAAATAAAACCTATTACAAAACGTCCGCCTCATTTCCACGTTGCAGTGCCTAAAAGGTGCATATTACGTGTGTGAATTAATTCATTACTATATCATAATTGTGTAATGGAACGTAAATAAATAAATAAATAGTTGTAAATTTCCGTATAAATCTATATATAATAGCTTTAACAAAGGAAATTGTTAAGAAAGTTACTAAAAATTATGCAAAAGTATTTGTAACTTAGAATGTTTAATATCCACCTCCCTTACACCACCAACTTCCTACCCAATACCTTATGTATTATACCATAATGATTCTAACACACTTCCGTAGTCCTATATGATCATCTGTCACACCGACACTGTATTCGTATGTAAATGGAGTGCATGTGTGAGATAAGAGCATACAATAAAGTGCGAAGTGTGGTGTGCAGGGCGCCCGCATGGAGGAGCGGCTGGACGACGCCATCAACGTGCTGCGCAACCACGCGGAGGCGGCAGACCTCTACCCGCAGGACCACCACCAGCCGCCGCCAGCCGGTAAGTCCACCATCCTACTGTTCATCTCCTCGACCTCAGTTGTCTAGCGGACAACTTCAGAAGGGCGCGGGTTCGATTCCTCGCGAAAACAGGCTCAAATATTTATATTTATGAGTATAATTGTTTGTATCGGTCTGGATGTTTTCTATGTATATAATGAATTTACAGAAGTGTTTCAGTATTTCTATCTATATTGTAATAACAAAAATACTTGATAATTTACAATGGATTATCAGGACCAAACTAAGGTCAGTTTGTACTAAGGGCAATAAATAAAGCATTGACCTATTTAAATACTTTGTTTTTGTAATTTTTTCTTACAAATTTGTAATTTTTCTTAATCTTCTTTCTTTTCTTTTTCTTTATAGAATACTAGCTACTCGCCCCGGCTTCACCCGGGTGTACATGTATTATATATATAAACCATCCTCTAGAAGCACACTCACTATTAAAAAAAACGCTTCAAAATCCGTTACGCAGTTTTAAAGATTGAAGCATACATAGGGACGGACAGACAGCGACAGCGACTTTGTTTTGTACTATGTAATGATGTTACGGTTGATGTATGAGATACGACAGTGAAACTTGTCCAGAGGCAATACGAGTGTGGCATCACATGATGACGTTATATCCATATAGCTATTTGTATATACGCGACGGTTACCACTTACCATCAGAGTCACTCTTGTTTGCCATTTCATATAATAAAATATACAATAACATAGTACATAGAAAATGTAAAATATAAGTTTCCTAATTGTGAACCTGTTTTTGATCCTAAATAAATAAAAAAAATAAATAAATAGAGTTTATATCAATTAATGTTATGATCTTTGGGGGAGGCCTATGTCCAGCAGTGGACATCTTCCGAGCTGAGATGGTGATGGCAATGATGATGATGATGACGATGATGATGATGATGATGCCGATGATGATGATGATGAATATGATATGTAGTGTCGCGGCTGGGCGCGGGCGCGGCGCTGCACGTGCACGCAGAGCCGCCCGTCAAGATGGAGCGGCACGTGCTGCCCAACACCAGTCAGTATCCACACCTTTTATTTTACACTAGTTGATCCGCGCAACTTCGTCTGCGTTTCATTTACTTGAAACGCAAAATTAAATTATAAATATATAAATTACGACCTCGGTGGTTTAGCGGTTTATAGCACGTATGGTCGCGGGTTCGATTCCTCGCACGGCACAAACATTTGTATGATTGTTTGTGTCGGTCTGGGTGTTTTCTATGTATTTACGAAAAAAATGTCTATGTATTTGTATCAGTTGTCTATAACGCAGGTTTTATCTGTCTTAACTCGGGTCTAGATGGCGCTGTGTGTATTGTCCTGAAATATTCGAAATATTGAACTTACAGAGAAACGCAAAGAGCCACCGGACTCGGGTCTGGACTCGAAGCCGTCATCGTCTGGCTCCGCGGACGCACTCGTCGGCAAACCACCGGGCAACAAGCGTTCACGGAGATAGTGAGTGTTAATTTTATATCATACTAGCTTTAGCCCGCGGCGTTCTTCATGTAATCAAGTATCCTATAAAAAAATCTATTGAGAATTTAAAAAGTAATTCAATTGAGTTTCTTGCCAGTTCTTCTCAATTGGATCTATATACCGAACTGGACGGTAGGGAAAATATATGATATAAAAAAAGTAAAGTTCATAAGCGATTAAAATGTCCTGCATTAATAAATGAATTTTTAAATTTATATGTTAGTATACGATATGATCTGTTTGTATGTCAAATTTCATTGGAATCGATGCAGTCGTTTTTGAGTTAAAGAGTAACAAATATTTATTTTAACTTTGACGTTTGTAATATCCTACTAGGATGCAATTTATTAGTTTATTTGAATAAAGATTATTTCTATTACTAAATAGAAATAATATTTATTCAAATGAACTTAATATAAGCACATTTTTTTTTCTACCACTCACGGAACGTAGAACTAGAAGAACGAGCAAGAAACTTGTATGTTGCTCTTTTGAAGAAAAGTTCTTCAGCAGCAAAATCTTAAACATGTGTTTAAGATTATGTATGAATACAAACAGCCAAATAGCAAAGTTTATATATATATATAAATAGTTACTTCAGTAACAAAATACATCAGTTTTAGTTGTCAGAACAGACCAGTCCCTACAAGCAACATCTTTCTTACATTGAGATTTAGATCTTAGATCCACATCGAACAATACATTTTGCAGTACACTTTGTGTAAAGTCGTCTGAGTGGGGACCTCAGTGGATTTTAGTCTCACCTATTTGAGCTTAGCTTTGTGAACGGTTCTGTTCTGACGGGTGTGGTATGGCAGTGGAATTATAAGGTATGGACGTCGTATCAAAATGTGATATTTGTGATGATGTTCGTGTAATTTGTTGTATATATATACTAATAAACGTAGCCCCTCTCAAGTAATGTGTAAAAATGATAAAATATATTATTGTAAAATATATTAGGTTGAAAATTAATTATATATATCGACGGAAAAGAGAGCAATTGTCTGTCTGTGAGTTGAAACGGCAAGCTTACAACAGAGTCAAAAATTGTTTCTAATATTCATCAAGATAGAAAGACAATTGGTATATTTCGTCGAGTTTAGAGTTTTGTCAAATATAGGGATTCTTGTAAAGTTTTATTTAGGGACTAGCTGTTCCCGCGACTTCGTCCGCGTGGAATTTAACTTAATTTTTCTAAAATAAAAGTAGCCTAAGTTACTCACTATTACATCAGTTATCTGCCAAAAGTCCCCTTAAAATCGGTCCAGCCATTTTAGAGATTAGCCGGAACAAACAGACAGACAGACAAATTTTTAAAAATGGTTTTTTGATGTATGTACCGTATTTATATTCATATGCATGTAGTAAAAAACGGTTATTTCAATATTACATACAGATTCAAATTTTATTTATATGTATAGATTTGTGTTATTGTCAGGTGGTAAGACCTGTAGCACTGCGACCTACATAGATCTATTGTGCTCGCCCTTTTCAAAGTTCACTACCTAGACCCGTCAGGGACAAGAATTAAAGGATATTCTTAGGAGCGATGGTTTTTATCTCCTCAGGATAGAGTGTACTTTCCAAAGGAGATATTCCGTTTATGCATGAGTGGGCTACAACCACATAGGATGTGTAGTGGCGTTTCCTCTTCAGTTTGGTTTTTCAAGTTTTTTCCGTCGATATATAATTTGATAAGCTATATAAAAAAAATTTTGGAAAACTTTGCAATTAGTTATTGTTAGTAATTATATTTTATTTAATATAACACTACGTATTTGAGAGGGGATGCGACATGTATTTTTTTTTGTGTATACTTAATAAAAACTCACCCCCTACCAAGACCTCGTATAAACCCTTCTCAACTATTACGTTTTGTCGCTTTCTAACTGTCGAATAGAATAGAATAGAATAGAATAGAAAATCATTTATTGAAATAAACTTAATTTAAGCAATTTGAATAGTCAGCAATTTGTTTTTAAATCTACCGCTCAGTCCGAGAGCTGTCTCATCACAAGAAGAATAAGCAAGAAACTTGTGTGTTGCTCTTTTGAATTTGACCGAACTATACTTTGTATAAAGTCGTTTGCGTGGGTTACCTCGGGTTTACCTAATTGAATCGTCAGGCAAATAGCTTTATAAAATGTGTTCCGATTGAAAAGTGAGAGAAGACAGTGAAATTACAGGGTACGGCGTCTCAGTCCTTCTTAAATGATAACTCATCAGTGGTACCTTAAATCAAATTTGCAATCGGTTCAGTAGTTTAGAAGTCCATCGCGAACGAACAAAGTGACACAACTTTTATATAAATATAAATCTTTATATATAAAAATTACGTGTCACGTTGTTGGTCTGCGATGGACTCCTATAATACTGAACCAATTGCAAATTTTATTTGATTTGCACGTTGAATGCAATTAGATCCAACTTGAAAGATAGGATAGCTTACATCTATATAGTCGCAATATTATGTTATTGCGAATTAATTGCCTTTTGTTCCCCTTGAACTGTAATATGACAAGAACCTTAGCCACAGCAACGCCTAGCCGGCTAGGCGTTGCTGTGGCTAATACCAATAAATAACCATGCATATTAATTACATTAAAAAAAATTAAACAAAAGGACAAAACGACGTAATAGTTGTGTAAGGTCTGTACGTGGTGTGGGTGCGGGGTGGTGTGGTGGGTGGTATATGAGTGAGTGTGTACGATATAAGTGACCCCCGGTGCAACAGCTGCTCGTCGGCGGACGAGGACGACGTGGACCCCGACACCAAGGCGGCGCGCGAGAGAGAGCGGCGACAGGCCAACAACGTGCGCGAGAGGTGCGCACACACTACTACACACACTACCGAACATACACACGTTTACATCGGCTACATCCATTGCACACACTACACTCCACGCTACACACGCTGCACACGGTGCACACACTGCTCACACTACACACGATGCAGACGCTGCACACGATGTACCGGGACACTCGTTACACTGGCTACACACGCTGCACCGTGTATACCCGCATAAGTACACGCTGCACCGTGTACACCCACATAAGTACACGCTGCACCGTGTACACCCACATAAGTACACGCTGCACCGTGTACACCCACATAAGTACATTGACATAATATCTTTTTAAATTATAGCCTACGTGTTATTTTAACATATAAGCTACATTACAGTAAAGTTTCATCAAAATCCGTTAAGTAGTTTTCGTGTGAAAGAGTAACAAACATACATCCATCCATACTCACAAACTTTCGCGTTTATAATGTTAGAAAGCTATTGCTTTGATATTAGAAGATGATTTTATTATTTAATGAACTTTTGTTTAATATATAGATATATGTATGTAATTAGATAGATAGATATACTTTATTTTTAATATACAATAAAGAAAAACATCATTACATAGTATAAAATAAAGTCACTGCCACTGTCTGTCCCTATGTATGCTTCAATGTTTAAAACTACGCAACGGATGTTGAAGCGGTTTTTTTAATTAGATAGAGCGATTCAAGAGGAAGGTTTATATATATAATAGATGTACACCCGTGAGAAACCGGGGCGAGTAGCTCGTTAACAATACATTAAAGGACTCATGTGTAATTTTAATTTGTTTATTAAATTTAATTTAATTTGTATTATAATAAATTATCTTCTAATATTAATAATTTGTATGCACACTCACCTACATTAAAAAAAGGGATACGGAGATTTTTGGAAACAGTTGTTTAAATATTTCTTTCCAGTAGTCTATATATATACAGCTCTGATTTTCGAATATAATAGCTTAATCTAGAGGTCCCATTCTCTTTGGAGATGGATTTGTATCGTCAACGAAACGCTAGTCGCAATCGGCCAACCTGACGAACCGACTGTATATCAGCAGCCTTATATGGAAAATATACTTGGTTCTTTTCTAATGAAATTACAGAAAAATTGTGTATTGTTGTAATATAATAAAATTAATATTGAATTGTTATTCCGTTGGTAATTTGGTAGTTTTTTTTTTCAAATATGATACCTTAACCTAGAGTTCATTCTCTTTGGAGATGGGGTTCTATCGTTAATCAAATGCTAGTCGCAATCAGTCAACCTGACGACGAATCGACTGTATATCAGCAGCCTTATCTATCAAATATACTTGTTGCTTTTCTACTGAATGTGCATAAATTTTTGTGAATTCTCGTAATGTAATAAAATGAATGATAAATTGTTATTTTTGTTGCTAATATAGTAAAAAAACACATTTTAACATACGTGTAAGGGTTTACATTACATGATAGAATTTGTTAGAAAAATATCATTAAAATATTATTTAATTAATTTTAATTCTAAATTAAAGATTTACTATATAAATTTACATAAAATATAATTAAATCAAAATGAAATATAGATTATGAATTATAGAAAAAGATGATACATATATGCGTCTCATAAAACATAAGTATATGGAATATGGAAAGAAAGAGAGAACAATACGTGTCTCAGCTCCGTGTTCCCTAACCTCCATTTTGTACATTGTGCTTGTGATACTAACATGTCACTTAAGTTTCAGCCTCACCAACTTAACAACGGGGGTCACAGTATGTAATATACCGCGGCGCCGTCCGTACATGTGTTTATTGTATAATTTACTGTGTATTTATATGTTTTTATATTCCAAATAGGCCGTACGGTAAGTCTGGTGTATGTTGAACGTCCTAACGTTTCTGTCCATAGAGGTTCATAACCTAGGACATTCACACAGCGCCATCTAGTTCTAAGATAGGCAGAGATTTTGAATATCCTAACGCTGTTTTCTGTCAATAGAGGTTCATAATAATAATAATAATAACCTCAGGACAATTCACACAGCGCCATCTAGACCCAAGTTAAGCTAGCTAAAGCTTGTGTTATGGGTACTAGATAACTGATACAAATACATAGATATATTTTTTCTCGTAAATACATACATATTATACATAGAAAACACCCAGACCGATACAAACAATCATACTCATGAATACAAATGTTTGTGCCGTGCGAGGAATCGAACCCGCGACCATCGGTAGTAAGGCGGTGTGCTAAACCGCTAGACCACCGAGGCCGTCAACCTAGAACCTAGAACAATTGATACAGCGCCATCTAGTTCTAAGATAGAGCTTGTGTTGTGAGTACTAGACAACTGATATAAATACTTTTTTTTTCGTATATAAAAAACACCCAGACTAATACAAACAGTTATACTCATGAATGCAAATGTACTATGCGAGGTATCGAATCTGCGAACATCAGAATTAAGACGGTTGTGCTGTTGGTTTGATCATCGAGACCGTTGTATGGACCAACAAAGTTATTTAAATAACTTTAGTTATTAGACATATAATAACACACGAAAATCACAAAGCGCCATCTAGTTTTTAACTAAACAGAGCTTGTAATATATATGAAAGGCAATTTAATTACCTACTTCTCAAGTAAGAATTAACACCTATAAAAAAAATATATATAAAAAACTAAAAAAATTGTTGTTCTGGTCACTACGTAACTAACTACCCACGCTGACTGTATATGTATAATATAAACAAAATTATAGTATTATTAGTATATATTATTATTTATTCGTATACATATATATTATACTAGCTTTTGCCCGCGGTTTCGGTTTCTTTAATTTATCCCCTTAGGGGTGGAATTTATCAAAATACTTTCTTAAGGGATACCTACGTCATAGTAGCTTTATGCATGCAAAGTCTCATCCCGATCGGTTTGAAATTGACAAAGTTTCATACAAACTTTCATCCCCTATTTAATCCCCTTGGGGGTAAAATTAGTCAAAATCCTTTCTTAGCGGTTGCCTACGTCATAACATCTACCTGCATGCCAAATTTCAGCCCGATCCGTCCAGTGGTTTGAGCTGTGCGTTGATAGATCACTATGTCAGTCACCTTTGAGTTATATATATTTAGATACATATACACTCTAGCTAGTATATATATCATATTTGCCTAAATATCATATCATATATTAACAGTTCATTGCATTTCGTTGTCCATCCGTTTGTTCATGTTTCATTTCGCTGTTAATATATTAAGCAGGAGGTCGGCAGAAGTCTCTCTCTCGCGCGCTGCCGTCGTGTCTGAGGTAACATATATATTCAACAGTATGCAGCATCTTGTAGAAATATAACTCGGATCTTATTGACGAAGAATAGTTAAAATGGCTGATCAAATTAATATCCATAGGATTCTTATATATAACTTTTACCCGCGGCTTCGCTCGCATTGAATCAAAAATTAAAAAAAAATGTTCATTCTAATACTTACAAGAACATGTATACATAACCGCGGCTTCGCTCGCAATTAATCAAAATAATCGTTTTTTTTTTTTATTATTAAAAAGTATCCTATTATCATTGGAATATATCCAAGAACATGTGTACAAAATTTCATGATGATCAGTTTAGTAGTTTTTGCGTGACAGCGTAACAAACATACCTACTTTCACATTTATAATCATACATAGTGTAAAACAAAGTCGCTGTCGCTGTCTGTCTCTATGTATGCTTAAATCTTCAAAACTATGCAACGGATTTTGAAGCGGTTTTTTAATAGAGTGATTCAAGAGGAAGGTTTATAATGTATATACATGTACATCCGGGCGATGCCGGGGCGGGTACCTAGTGATTATTAATTTGATTGGCTCATTTGCAACTGTATGTAGTAGGAGGTATATCGTTACATGGTAATTGTTTGGTCAGCTGCTCATCGGCAGACGAGGCGGAAGACGATGCAGACCCGCGGGCGAAAGCGATGCGGGAAAAGGAGAGGCGGCAGGCCAACAACGCGAGAGAGAGGTGAGCGAGTAGCCCTCACGTTACGATACGACACGACACGAGCGAAATCAAATGACGTGCCACAGGGAGCTGATCCGACCATACGTGAAGGATGAAATGGATGAAAACATTGGGCGGAAAAGTTTTCGCTGAGGAATAATTTAAAACGCGCTATAATTTAGTTTTAGACATATCATATATAGTTTATGCAAATATTAAATTATCGGACCCTATAACGATAGTTAATCTCCTTACAACGATCCTATATACACACGACACCGTCCTCGCCGGCGAAGACGACGACCTCGATAGGTATTTATAAAAATAATGGTTTAAATATATCAGTTGTCTTAAAGGCATAGTACAAGCTCTGCTTAGTTTGGAACTAGATGGCGCTGTGTTAGTTGTCGACAGTTTACGCAACTATTGATGTTACAATAGTATATTCAACTTTATTGGTATGACTATAGAGTATATATTGCGACTAATATTAATTATTATATATATTTGACGACCTCAGTGATCTAGCGGTCTAGCACACCGCTTTACGTCCGATGGTCGCGGGTTCGATTCCTCGCACAGCACAAACATTTGTATTCATGAGTATGATTGTTTGTATCGGTCTGGGTGTTTTCTACGTATATTATGTATGTATTTACAAAAAAAAAAACAATTTCTATGTATTTGTATCAGTTGTCTAGTACTCGTAACACAAGCTTTAGCTATCTTAACTTGGGACTAGATGGCGCTGTGTGTATTGTCCTGAGATTATTACTATTATTATGTTTTTCACAGCTTAAGCTGGTGATAAGTAGCGAGGACGGGACATGCCAAGTCTCTAGTTACTTTATTATAATTATTATATATAAATACAATAATAATAATATATAGAAATAAATAAACACCTTCGATTAATACCAGCTGCTGAGTTTCAACACCGTACCACCCGCCAGAGACTAAAACACCATCCTGATCATCTGGATGAATGGCGGTCTTCCACAGTGCGGTTTCTAGAAACGTTTGCCTCGCACAATCGGCAATGGTATTTCCGAACCGATACGATATTGAAACCTTCAAGAAAAGAGCTTATTCCTTTTTAAAAGGCCGACAACGTACTTGCAATTCCCCTGGTGTTGCAGGTGCTCATGGGCGGCGGTAATCACTTACCATCAGGTGAGCCGCATGCTCGTTTGTCCCCTGTGTTATAAAAAAAAACCTGTGAAATAGTCAGCAAATTTTTGTCATCCTAATCATTTATTTTATAATTGTCATTGTTTGGTGATATTCACCCGCAATGACAAGTCTAACACCCCATCAAAGGGAGATATATAATATATAATATTATTATAATATTTGTACTTATATTGAAAGGAACAAATGATATGTAATTTGAAAATTATTTTATTTCAGGCGTTGTATTAAATTTATTACATACTGTGAACCCCAATTATTACACTGAACATAACTGACCGAATTGTTACTTTCAGGGAAGACATTTTTGTGTATAACTAGTATGGTACATGCGACATTGTCTGCTTTAAAAATAAGAATCTAATCTCATGATACATCTTCACGATAGATACGATTAAGATCTGAACAAACATTTAGTTGTGAAAGGTTAACACGTTGACTGCCACATTTAATCTGGTTAAAATTGAAATAGAAATAATCTTTATTCAAATAAACTTAATATAAGCACTTTTGAATAAGTGCTGCATTTCCACGCGACTTCATCCAAGTGGAATTTAACAAAAATTTGGAGATTTTTCTTAAAAATAAAAGTAGCCTAAATTACTCCTTATTACATCAGCTACTGCCAAAAAAGTCCCGTCGAAATCGGTTCAGCCATTTCAGAGATTAACTGGGAAAACAGACAGACAGACAAAAAATGTTATTTTGGTGACCGTATTTATATTCATATGCGTGTAGTAAAAAACGGTTATTTCAATATTACAAACAGACACTCCAATTTTATTTATATGTATAGATAGGTATTTACCTCTCTCTGAACGTTTGGACTAGTTTGCACTAGACGTGGTCGCCAGCTGAATGGAGTAATAACGATGTCAATGTACAGACAGATGTACATACCCGGTTAATTATATAAATAATGTATATTAAATAGGAAAGTAACATTTGTTAGAATATAATAGAATAGAAAATCATTTATCCAAATAAACTTACATTGAAGCACTTTTGAATACTCATTACATTTTTTTTAATCTACCGCTCGTTCGGAAAGCTGTCTCATCACAAGAAGAACGAGCAAGAAACTTGCGTGTTGCTCTTTTAAATGATTTTTTTATTACTTTACATTTTTAAGTTTAAATGTGTGAATACAAACCACCAATTAGCACTAATTCATTCATTCATGGTTGTAGTAGATATTGTTGGTCAAATACTAATGTTGGACGGTGTATCCCGCAGGATACGGATAAGGGATATAAATGAAGCGCTAAAGGAGCTAGGACGGATGTGCATGACGCATCTGAAGAGTGACAAGCCACAGACCAAGCTCGGCATACTCAACATGGCTGTTGAGGTCATCATGACGCTGGAGCAACAAGTCAGAGGTAAACACCACTATTTTTATTACTAGTTTTAGATATACCAACTCTATGTACTAGTGAAAGTATGTATTATAATAAAATAACAACTATATAACATTAATTTAACTATTCTCTAACACAATTCAGTTTAGCAATTAAAATACAACCAGCACATCCTGTGCTCAAAGACCGAATGCCGCGGCCTACAAAAACCCTCCCTTTTATACAGAGAAGATATGAGTGGGGGTTATATGCAACTAGTTTAACTATACCAAGTAATAATGAAACTACCTTCTTTTAATATAAAATATCCCTAATATGTGAACCCTAACACTAGCTGTAACCGCGAATTCCGCGTGGAATTTAACTTAATTTTCCTAAAATAAAAGTAGCCTAAGTTACTCCTTATTATATTAGCTACCTGCCAATAAAAGTCACGTCAAAATCGGTCCAGCCATTTCAGAGATTAGCTGGAACAAACAGACAGTACAAAAATTGTAAAAACTGTTGTTTTCCACCTTTTTTTGGGTGGTTAGGGCTATTGTTAGTTTATTGCTTGGACCTGTAGCTCTGCGACCTACATAGATCTATTGTGCTCGCCCTTTTTCAGAGTCCGCTCCCTAGACCCGTCAGGGACAAGAATTGAAGGATATTCTTAGGAGCGATGGTTTTTATCTCCTCAGGATAGTGTAAACTTTCTAAAGGAGATATTTTGTTTATGCATGAGTGGGCTACAACCACATAGGATGTGTAGTGGCGTTTCCAATTCAGTTTGGCAATATCTGCAAAAAAACTTCTGCAGTTAGAGTTTATCTAATTGTTTTTATTTAACACTAGCTGTGACCGCCACTTCGTACGCATTGAATAATGACCGTCATAATTTAAGAGTTGTTCTCTTGTCGGTGGAGCTCCCGCCACCTTCCATGATCTGCTATCAAATTTGAAATATCTCTATTCATGTAGGTCTATTACAGACTCTTATGATATGTCAAATCTACCGTCAGTTCGGAATGATTTCGAGATGAGAAGAACTGACAAGAAACTCAGCTCGTATTATTTTCAAATAAATGTTGTACATGTTTACAATAATACAGATTCATTTAAATTCAAATTTGTGAGAATAGAGTGACCACCAGCATATGCTATTGCAAAAGCAAATAGTCTAATCAGTGTTCGTAACCCGAACAGACCAGTCCCCGCAAGCAGCACTCGGTCACGAGTATGACGGATCATTTTTTTTTACTTGTTAATACGATTTTTTCTCCAACTTTGTCCTTCTTATACACCGTCCACAATCTTCTATCAATCTTTTTAGTCGTTGATACAAGACTCCAACTTTTTAGTTAACTTACTAGATATAGCTGTGTCTTGGTCTTCCTCTCTTCCCATCTAAATGATATCTTAGCATAAAATATATAATGGTTAACTGATTAACCGGCATCGCTATATATATATAAAAATGAATTGCTGTTAGTTAGTGTCGCTAATCTGGTCAAGCTCGCTGGAAGGCATTGGATGCGAGCAGCGCAGGACCGATCGTCGTAGATCTTTGGGGGAGGCCTTTGTTCAGCAGTGGACGTCTTCCGGGCTGCGATGATGATGATGATGAGTCTCGGTAAAATTCGAGAACGGCTGAACCGATCTGGCTAATGTTAGTCTTGAAATATTCGTAGAAGTCCAGGAAAGGTTTAAACTGTGATAAAATATGAAGAAATTGAATATAAAATAGTAAAAACAACAATTTTATTTTCCCATACAAACTGTTGATACCTGTCAAACAGGGTGCGTTCAGAAATTTATTGCGTAACTAAACTTCGAAAAACTTTTGACATATTTAATTTTGTGACGGAACAGAGTTTCCGGGGTCAGCTAGTCCAAATATATATAATTCAAAGGTGACTGACGTAGTGATCTATCAACGCACAGCCCAAACCACTGGACGGATCGGGCTGGAATTTGGCATGCAGGTAGATGTTATGACGTAGGCATCCGCTAAGAAAGGATTTTGATTAATTCTACCCCCAAGGGGATAAAATAGGGGATGAAAGTTTATATAAAACTTCGTCAATTTTAAACCGATCGGGCTGAGACTCTGCTTGCATAAAGCTACTACGACGTACTACAACCGTCCCCTAAGATAGGATTTTGATAAATTCCACCCCTAAAGGGATAAATTAACGCGAGCGAAGCCGCGAGCAAAAGCTAGTATTTATTAAAAAAAAATGTTAATTAAAAATGAATGTGTTTGTGATGTCCTCCGCCAGAACGCAACCTGAACCCGAAGGCGGCGTGCCTGAAGCGGCGCGAGGAAGAGAAGGCGGAGGAGGCGCCCAAGCTGCTGGCCGCGCCGCTGCAGCACTACCAGCCCATGCCGGTGCGTATCTATCTATATCTGTACCTGTATCTTTAGCACACGTACACATAACTACAAATGTATCAGCCCATGCCGGTGCGTATCTATCTATATCTATATCTCTAGCACACGTACACAAAACTACACATGTATCAGCCCATGCCGGTGCGTATCTATCGATATCTGTACCTGTATCTCTAGCACACTTACACATAACTACACATGTATCAGCCCATGCCGGTGCGTATCTATCTACATCTATATCTGTATCTCCAGCACACGTACACATAACTACACATGTATCAGCCCATGCCGGTGCGTATCTATCTATATCTATACCTGTATCTCTAGCACATGTACACATAACTACACATGCATCAGCCCATGCCGGTGCGTATCTATCTATATCTATATCTGTATCTCTAGCACACGTACACATAACTACACATGTATCAGCCCATGCCGGTGCGTATCTATCGATATCTGTACCTGTATCTCTAGCACACTTACACATAACTACACATGTATCAGCCCAAGCCGGTGCGTATCTATCTATATCTATATCTCTATATCTAATCTAATCGATTGCAACACGTGTAGTGTTCAATATATAAAAAAAGGCTCGTGCCATACAGCCGTTGCTTGAGTAGAGTTTAAGTTAATACCTGCTCACCAACTATGTTTTTTTTTCTCGAAGATAATTTTTTTTTACCTGTGTTGCCAGCTTTGATTCTCAAATAGTGTTGTGGCATTATCGGAAATTAAATTTGCACACAAAATATTCATGTAGGTCTATTACAGACTCTTATGATATGTCACATCTACCGTCAGTTCGGAATGATTTCAAGATGAGAAGAACTGACAAGAAACTCGACAGAATACGAGAATTATTTTGAAAAGAATACGAGCTTATTAAATTAATTACCGATTTTTATAAGTTACACTCAAATAATATGTGGGAGTTGATCAGTACGCAACGTACTGCCTCGTATAGCTGGTAACATTATTTAGAAAAATTGACTTTTACAGCTGTCAATTTAGTTTTCGAGATTAAAAAACAGGCTATATACATCTACATATTGATTACCTCGGTGGTCTAGCGGTCCAGCACACCGCTTTACGACCGATGGTCGCGGGTTCGATTCCTCGCACGGCATAAACTTTTGTATTCAGGAGTATATTGTTTGTATCGGTCTGGATGTTTTCTATGTATAATTTGTATGTATGTATTTACAAAAAAAATATCTATGTATTTGTATCAGTTGTCTAGTACCCATAATACAAGCTATAGGTAGCTTAACTTGGGTCTAGATGGCGCTGTGTGAATTGTCCTGAAATTATTATTATTATTATTATTACATACATATATACATACATTTACATATTTTTTCTCACTTTGCGATTTGATTCATTGATGAATTTAAAGGTTGTTTATAAACCGCCAATTGGCAGTATTCAACCGCATGTCAATTGACAAGAGCAGTTTGGTTTGCAGGGCATGGGCCAGCTGCCCGGGCAGCCCCCCACGGGCGCACCTCCGCAGCAATAGCGACGCCCCGTCCGCCCCTACGCGCTGCCCTAGCGGCCCCACGCCCGCCCCCCGGGCCCCGCGGGCCCCTAGCGGACCCACGCCGCCCCACGCTCGCCCCACCCGCGCCGGACGCGGCTAGCTATGTGTGTATTATATATCTGTACCGAGCATTATTGGATCTGTATTAAACTTGAGGTTGTTTTAAAGATTTCTTTGTAATCTGGTCGCGAACATGTCTCTCTTGGATTGTAGTCTATAATTTATATTTATATACTATTAATTATATATTTAATTTTAATATATTAAATTCGATTTGATATTTTAATGTAATTTACTAATTATATGTTTTATTAACATTAATTTTGCTATGTTTGTGATTTAAATACATTTAGTAATGTATTAAAATTATATTAAATATATTATTAATTTAAATCGTATGCTATAGCATATATATTTTTTATTTATAGTATATTTTTTACTCTGTATGTAGCAAACGCTATATTTGTAATATTTACTTCCATACTACATGAAAATATATTTAGTTCCGGTCAAATGTGTTTATGAACAAGTTTATATTTAATATATTGTATGGTGTAGAGCACACATAGCTAGCCACAATTGAAATGTAATTAAAAGGCATTCATTACTTAAGTTTGATTTGTCTGTGACATGTCTTGACATAATCTGTAGAGAATTAAAAAAAAACCGCCAGCGGTGGCGTAAACGCAAGAGTTGTAATATTTATTGACTTTTATATAACGAGACAGATTAATGAATTATTTATATATTGAACTTATATTTATTGTATAAAGTTCGTATGAAATTGTATTTCGCAATGGAGTCGTCGACGCGTGTCATAGACAAGATTTTGTTGGTTTTTAATTGGTCGTTACGAAGCGAACGTCCCAAAGAGTAAGCGCGTAGTGACACATATTCGGACAATTTAGTGCGTAAGTGTGTATATTATTAGGTTTAGATATAGTTTTGTATTCGCCAACGAGACCGCGCGAGAACACACGGCATTCTAACAAATGTCTGCCCATAGACATTGGGAGAGCCACATTTTGTAAAATATTAGACTAGACTTACATCTATGTATAGGTATATTATAGTTTGATCTATAAAGAAGATATTTTTAATTACGACTTTAAATAGTTATTATTGCTGCCATAAGTGGAGTTGAGGTGTTCGTTCCGTGATAGAATCTGCCGCCGCCACTTTGCCGCCCTCTGTTTCTGGCGGGCGATGACTGACGTCAGTCACCCGTCAGTCGTCTGTCAGTCGTCCGTCAGTCGCTGTCATTTTAGACGCTTGACAGGAATACGCGGGGTACGAGACCTCGGATTGAATTTATTATTGTGCATATTATGTGATTTCGTTTGTATGTGTACATGGAGCGGTGAGGATGTGGATTGATATTTATTTGGAAATGTGTGGGGTTTGAATCCGACTGTATTGTGCAAATTGGAACGCGTATTCTGTATTATTATTTATGTATAATTATAATGTACAAGATTAATGTTTAAAATTGAATTATTTGTATCGAGTGACAGTATACGGTCATTGTACAGTCCCAGTCAGAGTGTCAGTGAATACTCTAGTATTATTTATTTGTGGTATGTTATAAAAGATTCTCTTACGAGAGTCGCGTGCGCAGTGCAGCGGGATTCACAGATTGCCACACATTTTCAAACGGAACACGAATTTTATTGTCTGTTTTAATTAATAATAAAATGGCTGCTAACTTAAGTATGTACTTAAGATTATATTATTATATTTTGTCTCTCTTTTTTGTACCAAAACACCAGTGGATATAGTGGTTTTGTATTTTCATTTCGTAGACACGTTTCCCAGGCGGATCCAGGTGATCTGTTGTAGCGTAATTTATATATTTTTTTAGATTTATTTTTCGGTAGCTGATTGTCTTGTAATCATGAATTATAAACACAGTTTGCCTAAAATGTGAGACAGTGACTTGGTATCAGAGAAATGTTGAATTCTATCGACAATGTTATATGAGAAATGCAATTGGGTCGTCTGTACCGGCTCAGTGGATGCATTTAGTGGTTTATTTTTATTTAAATAAGTTTATCTTGTGTATTAATGATACATAAATGTACAAGAATGATACATGATTGATACATAAATTTTGATTGGTATGCTGTGGCATGTGTTGAACATATGCATGTAACAATATTGACCGTTTGCTGATCTTGACTCATTGTCTGGCATTACATACAGAGGTGTCAACTGTGAACGATGATTTCGTTAGAATTTATATAAAATATATGTTTATTATAATGATATTTATATAATAATTAAAATAATATTTAATTACGGAATGTAAATCTGATTATACATTGTGATTTTGATTTTATACAGGACCGGTAGTGGCACATCATTAATTGAACAACTTACCCTAAATAACTAAAGTTGATGTGAGGTGGTGTGGTTTTACACACTGCCATATCCTCCTATAGGTTGTGGGTTCGAGTCCCACGTAATACAAAATACTTGTTTTTATTTATGTGAGCGTTTTTTTGTATATTCTAAATCAGTTCTCTCAATATCCTACGTATAAGCTCATCCTAGTTTGAAACTGGATGGCGCTGTGTTATATATATAAATTATTATATTTTCCCTCCAATAGATCTAAACGGCGATTAAAATTGCGACGGCCTGATCCGAGGTTGGAACCCCTAATGGTGCCCTCAGACTAAAGTCATACCCGTCAGGCGGGAGTTGGCCTTCAGCCGCTCCATAAGTTCTTCCTTTGGTTTGGAGTGCCATCTGCACTCGCCCCCTATCGTCCGATGAAGCTGTAAAGGCCAGCTGCGGAAAACAGCATTAGAGTAGTCCGAAAATGCAAAATTGATCACTTGGTTGAGTTTTGAATGAGTGATGCTGTAAAATATGAGGTTCTCGATGAGTTGTTCAGTTACATGAGTTTGTTCACGGTGTATACATTACTGCCGGTCCTGTATACGATGTGAAGTTTGTTTGTATCGCACGTAAACTTGTTGTTTATGGTGTCCCATCATGCTTGTATGCATAATCTTAATTTTGTATATAAGTTACGACAACGCTCAATATTTGATTATTTTTAATGACAAAAATTTGACAATTTTGATTTATAAATTTTTTTTTGTGTGGTCTGTGGTATACACGTTACTTGGTATAATCTGTGGATAATAAATCTTTACATAATGAATTTTAATAAAATACACTTTGAATAAAGTTGATTATATAGGTACTACAATCTCACCTATTTCAGCTGCCTATCAGTTTGCTTTGTAAACTATGTCGGGAATTTTAACAAAGTACACTTTGAACAAAGTCGTCCGAGTTGGTAGTACAGTCTCACGTATTTCAGCCGCCTAGCTGTTTTATAAACAATTTCGGGAATTCTGACAAAGGACACTTTGAATAAAGTCTTCTGAGTTGATAGTACAGTCTCACCTAATTCGCCCGCCCAGCTGCTTCGTAAACTATATCGGGAATTCTGACAAAGTACACTTTGAATAAAGTCATCTGCGTAGGTACAGTCTCACCTATTTGAGCTGCTAACGAGCTTTAAATATTTATATGGCAGTAAACTTATTGCGTATATAGACATATGTCAGTCTCTTTTAATAGTCACCATGTAACATGAAGTCCGTAATGCTGACGGTTATAACTTACCATCAACGTTTACCATCAGCTCGTTTATTATTACTGTCACATAGAAAAAAATGTCCAAGTCACTTTTCCCACTGGGCACACTGGGTACGTGCCCAGGGCCCCGCGATGGATTGGGGCTCTCTAGTCTAGTCTTGTCCCTACTCTATTACCAAACGATAACCGATAGCTACTCTACTCTCGCCTGAAAATATGTCTTAACAAATGCTTACCGACTATGGTCAATTTGTTCTGTTTGTAATTTTTTTTATAAATGTTTAGCAAGAACTAAAACCCCTCGTCATATTACGACTTTTTAAAATTACTTTTCAGGAGAGCCCAAGTTTCCTAATGTGTCCGAGGCTTCTAATAGGTGAAATACGGCTCTGTTAATGCCAATCTCTAAAAACCTATCTCTAAAACTCGCCACTTTTATAGATAGTCATCTGTAAAACTCGCAACTTTTAGAGATAGTCATCGCTAAAACTCGCAACTTTTAGAGATAGTCATCGCTAAAACTCGCAACTTTTAGAGATAGTCATCGCTAAAACTCGCAACTTTTAGAGATAGTCATCGCTAAAACTCGCAACTTTTAGAGATAGTCATCGCTAAAACTCGCAACTTTTAGAGATAGTCATCGCTAAAACTCGCAACTTTTAGAGATAGTCATCGCTAAAACTCGCAACTTTTAGAGATAGTCATCGCTAAAACTCGCAACTTTTAGAGATAGTCATCGATAAAACTCGCAACTTTAAGAGATAGTCATCGATACAACTCGCAACTTTTATGGATAGCGACAGTGAGACGCTACATTCCACACATCCAAGTAACGTGCATACAACGTGCGCAAACAAATCGATATATACAAACAGCTTATGACAATATTTATGTATGATGACGTTAAACGACGGGAGTCTCTGTCCTGTGTTTCACGCGACAACTACTCTGTGTACTGGATCAGTAACCAGCGGTTACGAGTAAAGTACACAATGCTAGTTGTGTCAGGCGTTTAGTAGTTAATTTTCTCTCTAAAATGTACTGTATTATATAATTGTAAGGTTGATTTTTCTATAACGGTTCTACTAGACATGGTATTTGCCGTACTATAGATTTTAAACACATTTGAAAAATAGATTTTCGAATCCGCGAATCGATTGGATCGACTTATAATTGGTTAATATCTTGTTATTTATATATGTATATATAATTTTCTTATCAAATATATGCTAGTTAATATATAGTTATATATAATAATAAATAATTTATTGTTCAGTTTTTTTTATAACATATTTTTGTATATTCTTTAATTTTTTTAATTCAGTTTCATATCTATATTACTCTATATATATATATGTACATTTTTTTGTAAAACATATTTGTATGTTCTTTAATTTATTAATTCATTTTTATGTCTGTATTACTGTTTATTATTATATATATATTAAAAATATGTATGTGTATCAGTTGTCTAGTAACCATGGTATAAGCTCTACGCTGAGTTTGGTACTAGATGGCGCTGTGTCTTTATTTATGTATTTAAAATGTACAAACTGTAAATAAAACTAAATTGAATATATCTATGAATTATATTATATGAATTATAAGTTGATCCAAATACTTGTGGGCACAGATGACGCCTGTATCGGGCGCAGGCGAGAACCAACTTTGT